TCCACCCGCCTCAGCCTCCCAAAGTGCTGGGATTACAGGCTTGAGCCACCGCGCCCAGCCCATAGTGGATTCTTAAGCACGCTCTCCACGTATGCGGCGTGCTAGCTGGATGTCTTTCGGCATAATTGTTACACGTTTGGCATGGATAGCACAAAGGTTGGTGTCTTCAAAAAGGCCAACCAGATAGGCCTCACTTGCCTCCTGCAAAGTACCGATAGCTGCGCTCTGGAAGCGCAGATCTGTTTTAAAGTCCTGAGCAATTTCTCGCACCAGACGCTGGAAGGGAAGTTTGCGAATCAGAAGTTCAGCGGACTTCTGATAACGTCTAATTTCACGGAGTGCCACAGTACCAGGCCTGTAACGATGAGGTTTCTTCACCCCTCCAGTAGAGGGCGCACTCTTGCGAGCGGCTTTTGTAGCCAGTTGCTTCCTGGGTGCTTTACCACCGCTAGATTTGCGGGCAGTCTGCTTTGTACGAGCCACGGTATAGAGACCTCCTTACTTACCCTCCTTCTCCTTCGGCTGGAGTTCGGCGAGGGAGAGGCGGCGCTGGCGTTGGAGAGCGCCGGCGGCGCGGCGGCGGCTGCGAACACCTGTTTGTATATTTCTTCCGTGAGCTTTGACTCCCTGTCTTCTGGTGATAAGAATTTTCTACCCTAGGGCTGGGTATGGTGGCTCATGCCCGTAATCCCAGCACTTTGGGAGGCAGAGGCAGGTGGTTCACTTGAGCTCAGGAGTTGGAGACCAGCCTGGGCAACTTGGTGAAACCCTGTCTCTACCAAAAATACAAAAAATTAGCTGGGCATGGTAGTGTGTGCCTGTGATCCTAGCTACTCCGGGACAAGGCAAGAGGATCACTTGAGGCTAGGAGGTGGAGATTGCTGTGAGCCAAGATCACACCACTTCACTCCAGGCTGGGCAATGGGATAAGACCCTGTCTCAAAAAAAAAAAAAAAAAAAGAATTTTACTTTCTTTCTGGTATGGGGAGGGCATCTTCCATATGGGGGTTTATCTCATTTTCCAGAAGAAAAGAGGGAGGTCACAGTGCTTTTCTGCACCTGCTATTTTTCAAGTGCCCTTAGCTCAAAACAATCCATATGCCAACGTGGCATATTTTGGTGGCATCGTCTGCCACCCTCAAAATGAAAGAGACGGTTCATAGCAGCTGTAATAATTGCTCAACACTGGCAACAATTCGAAAACCAGCCATTAACAGGTGAAAGGATTAACAAAGTGTGAGACAGTCACATAACAGAATACAACTGAGTAATAAAAAGAAACAAAACTGGGTGTGGTGGCTCATGCCTATAATCCTAGCACTTTGACAAGCCAAGGCAGGTGGATTGCTTGAGCCCAGGAGCTCAAGAACAGCATGGGCAACATGGCAAAACCTTGTCTTTCTTTTTTTTTTGAGACAGAGTTTTGCTCTTGTGACCAGGCTGGAGTGCAGTGGCACAATCTCAGCTCACTGCAACCTCTGCCTCCCGGGTTCAAGTGATTTTCCTGCCTCAGCCTCTCGAGTAGCTGAGATTACAGGTGGTCGCCACCACACCTGGCTAATATTTGTATTTTCAGTAGAGATGGGGTTTCACTATATTGGCCAGGCTGGTCTCGAACTCCTGACCTCAGGTGATCCATCCACTTTGGCCTCCCAAAGTGATGGGATTACAGGCATGAGCCACTGCACCTGGCCTGGTGAATACACAAAAATTAGCTGGGCGTGGTGGCACACAGTTGTAATCCCAGCTACTTGGGAAGCTGAGGTGGGAGAATCACTTGAGCCTGGGAAATTGAGGCTGCAGTGAACCGTGATGGTGCCACTGCACTCCAGTCTGGGTAACATAGTGAGACCCCATCTCAAAAGAAAAGAAAAAAGAAAACCGCTGACGTGGCAAACAACATGAGTTTCTTTTTTTGTTTTCGTTTTTGTTTTGTTTTGTTTTTTTTGAGACGGAGTCTGGCTCTGTCGCCCAGGCTGGAGTATAGTAGTGCAATCTCGACTCACTGCAATCTCTGCCTCCTGGGTTCAAACGATTCTTCTGCTTCAGCCTCCTGAGTAGCTGGGATTACAGTTTGTGAGCCACCATGCCCTGATAATTTTTGATTTTTAGTAAGGACAGTGTTTCCCCATGTTGGCCATGTTGGTCTTGAACTCCTGACCTCAAATGATCCACTCATCTTGGCCTCCTAAAGTGCTGGGAACATGAGTGAGTTTTAAACATCACATGCTGGGGAAAGAAGCCTCTCAACAGGCTACACGTTGTATGATTCAGCTTATAAGACTTTCTGAAAAAGACAAAGTTATAGGAACCAAAACAAATCTGGTAGGGCCAGGGGCAGGAGTAGGACAGAGCATGAAAGGGCAAGAGAAAATTTTGTCTTTTCTTTTTTTTTTTTTTTAAGATGGAGTATTGATCTGTCACCCAAGCTGGAGTGCAGTGGCACAATCTCGGCTCACTGCAGCCTCCGCCTCCTGAGTTCAAGTGATTCTCCTGCCTCAGTCTCCCAAGTAGCTGGGACTACAGGCATGTATCACCACATCTGGCTAATTTTTGTATTTGTAGTAGAGACTACAAGGGCTTTCACCTGTTGCCCAGGCTGGTCTCAAACTCCTGGCCTTGAGTGATTTTCACACCTTGGCCTCCCAAAGTGCTGGGATTACAAGCATGAGCCACCATGCTCAACCACTGGTAAGAGGAAATGTCTTAGGGTGATGGAAATAATTGTCTTGATTGTGGTCATGTTTTAATGATATACCTGTATGTCAAAACATGCAATTTCAGCCAGGCATAGTTTAAATATGAGCAGTTTGTGTGCAGTGAATTATATTGTAACAAAGCCCAGAAGGAGGGAAGTAAGAGGAGGAAGGGACGAAAGGAGAGAAAAAGAGTAAACTAATATGGCAATCATAAACAAAATGAAAGATATATACACCTGTGACTCAGAAATGTCTTTTTTTTTTTTTTTTTGAGACGGAGTTTCGCTCTTGTTACCCAGGCTGGAGTGCAATGGCACGATCTCGACTCACTGCAACCTCTGCCTCCCAGGTTCAAGCAACTTTCCTGCCTCAGCCTCCCAAGTAGCTGGGATTACAGGCATGTGCCACCACACCAGGCTAATTTTTATATTTTTAGTAGAGACGGGGTTTCACCATGTTGATCAGGCTGGTCTTGAACACCTGACCTCAGGTGATCCACCCAACTAGGCCTCCCAAAGTGCTGGGATTACAAGCATGAACCACCGCACCAGGCCATCATTTATTTTTATTTTATTTTATTTTATTTTTAGAGACAGGGTTTCACTATGTTGCCCAGGCTAGCCTCAAACTCGTGGGATCAAGCAATCCTCCCACCTTGGCCTTCCAAAGTGCTCAGATTACAGGGGTGAGACACTGTACTCACAGATATCATTTCTTGAAAACTGTCTCACTAAAGATCCAGTCCCAGTCCTAAGGATTTTGATCCAGGGACTTTTACTGCATCATCATAGTGGCAAAACTCAGGAAGATCCAGGAATTGTCCATCAGTAGGATAACAGTTGATTGTACTATGGCAGAGCTGCACTATGAATCGTGTAGCTACTAAAAACAGGAGTTAAGTATACGTGTATAGACGGTTAAGTGTAAACAACAAGTTGCACGGTAGCTGTATGATTCCATCCTGTGTGGATTCTAGGTCGTGCCAGCACTGAAAAAGGGTCTCACAGGACGGCAGGTATACTGGTTACACTTGACAGTTCCCAGGGTATCACTGCCCCCTAGGGGACATCCTAGAGATCGCGCTACAGACAGTCCCTGACGACGGTTCTAAGGTTTTCAACTTTATGATTTTTATCGGGATGTAACCCCATCGTAAGTCAAGGAGCATTTGTATTTGAAATACATTTCATTACAAATTATTTTCCTTAACACTCTAATGCAACAGCTTTTATCAAGGTCCCCAGAGACCTTGCCAAACTCAACTGTCAATTCTCTTTCCTCATTTTAACTCAGGGACACATGACACCGCTAACCCCTCTCTCTCTATCTTGAAATATGTTCTTCAGGTCGGGCGTGGTGGTAATCCCAGCAACCTGGGAGGCCAGGGCGGGTGTATCACTTAGGAGTTCGAGACCAGCCTGGACAACATGATGACACCCCATCTCTACTAAAAATACAAAAGTTAGCCAGGCATGGTGGTGCGCACCTGTAATCCGTCTTGGTGACCCTGTTTCAGGAAAAACAAAAACAAAAAACAATAAACGTCCTTAACACGGCCCACGAGGCCCCATGGAATCTGGCCCCAGCCTGTCCATTCAACCTCATCTATTACAATCTGGGCACTAAAAATGTGGTCTGCGGACCAGCAGCGTGTAAGTCACCTGGGAAAGAGTTAGAAATTCAGCCTCTCAGGCCGCCCTCTTCGTCTGTTGGGTCAGAGCCTGAATTTTAAAAAGGCCCGCAGATGCTCGTTAGAGTTTAAGTAGAGCGTCTTACAAGCTTACAAGCTTCCCCTTCACCCTGATTCGGCCATAAGGGTATTTCATATTCCTCACTTTCCGCTTCTGGGAACTGACCAGAGAAGCACCGGCCTCGCACGCAGCTACAGATAAACACACTCCGACTTTTGCGCAGGCGTACTGCGACCATCACGCACTCCTATTTGAATACGCGTGCGCTCAGAGTCCCGGCGACGAAGGCGGGGCCTATTTGCAGGGCAGTCCCAGCCGGGGATGGGCGGGACCTGAAAGGAGGAGAGGGGTTTCCGCTTCCGGCAGGAGTCGGAAGTCACTGTCTCCCGGGTAAACGGAGCTTTTGCAGGGAGGCTAGGTGAGTGCTCGTGCGGCTCGTGCAGGTGGGCGTTGGGGCCGGGTAGGACTGGGAGTTCTTCTACTCCGGGCGTTTACGGGGTCCTGGAGGAGGAGTCTGGGACCCCGGGCTTGGGGGGAGGCAGGTCGGGGAGACTGACTCCCCCCGACCCCATCCATCCAAGAGCGACTACCGGGGCGGCTGGCTCCTCCCGGCGGCCGTCGGGAGGCGATGCCGAGGCCTCGGTGAGTCTGTAGGAGCAGCCAACCCTCCACCCCTTGGGTTTCCGCAGATTCGAGGATGACTTCTCTGCCATCCCCTTTTGGCGCTCTTGAACTTAACGTTGTCACAGGACAGGCTGAAGCCTCTGCAATCCTTATGCAAGCCAGACCCCATTCATGGGGTGGGGGAACTGTAGTCCCTGGGCAAAATGAGATTCCGGGGCTCATCTGTAATTTTGTTTGGACTTTTTTTTTCTTGAGACAGAGTCTTGCTGTGTCGCCCAGGCTGTAGTACAGTGGCGCGATCATAGCTAACTGCAGCCTCGACTTCCTGGGCTCAAGCTTCCCACTTCAGCTTCCCCAGAGTAGCTGGGACTACAGGCTCGCGGCTAATTTTTTTGTAATTTTGTAGAGATGAGGGGTCTCACTATGTTGCTCAGGCTGGTCTCCAACTCCTGTCTTTAAGCGATCTTCCCACTCGGGCCTCCCAAATTGATGAGATTACAGTCCTTACCTCCCAAAGTGATAGAGTTACAAGCCTGAGCCACCACATCCGGCTCTTTTTGTAGATTCAGATTCCAGGGACTGATTGATTGGGTTATTCAGTAATAGTTATTGCCGGGCACAGTGGCTAATGCTTATAATGCCAGCACTTTGGGAAGCCGAGGTGGGAGGGAGGATCGCTTGAGCCTGGGAGTTCCAGACCAGGCTGGTCAACATGGTGGGTTCCCTGTCTCTCGAAAAAATAAAAAATTAGCTGGGCATGATGCTGCAGCTAATTTGTATTTCAGAGATAGAGGGGTGGGGGAGGGTCACACAAGGGATTTGTGAGAAAGAAAGGGATTGAGGATGAATTCAAAGTTTTTGATTTGATTATCCAGAACGATGGAGTTGCTGTTAGCTGAGATGAGGAAGACTGTGGAAGAGCACGTTGCAGTGTCAGCAGCTTGATTTTGGACATGTTATGTTTAATATTGGGTGGAAGTTAGACATTAGGGTGGAGCTGTGGCTGAGGCAGGCAGATCAGCGTCTGCAGTTCAGGGGACAGACTCAAGGCTGGAGAAGCAGGTGTCCTCAGTGTAAAGTAGGCATGAAGCCCTAAGACTGGGTGAAATCTTCATAAAGGTGAGTATATCCAGAGAGGAGAGGATTCAACCATTCAACTCCTGGGTTCTCCTCTTTTTTTTTTTTTTTTTTTTTTTTTTTTGGGTGTAGTTTTTTCCTTTTTTTTCCTTTTTTTTTTTTTTTTTTTTTTTTGAGATGGAGGAGTCTCACTCTGTCACCCAGTCTGGAGTACACTGGCACAATCTCGGCTCACTGCAACCTCTGCCTCCCAGGTTCAAGGGATTCTCCTGCCTCAGCCTGCTGAGTAGCTGGGATTACAGGTGTGCACCACTACGCCTGGCTAATTTTTGTATTTTTAGTAGAGATGGGGTTTCATCATGTTGATTAGGCTGGTCTTGAACTCCAGACCTTGTGATCCGCCCACCTCAGCCTCCCAAAGTGTTGGGATTACAGGCATGAGCCACTGTGATGAACCTTTTGTTTTGTTTTGTGTTTGAGATGGAGCCTCACTCTGTTGCCCAGGCTAGAGTGCAGTGGCATGATCTTGGCTCACTGCAACCTCCACCTCCCAGGTTAAAGCGATTCTTCTGCCTCAGTTTCTCATGGTAATGCCCAGCTAATTTTTGTATTTTTAGTAGAAATGGGGTTTCACCATGTTGGCCAGCCTGGTCTCCAGTTCCTGACCTTAAGGGATCCACCTGCCTCTGCCTCCCAGTCCTGAGCCACTGTGCTGACCTTTTTTTTGTTTGTTTTTTTTTAAAAGATGGAATCTCACTGTCACCCAGGCTGGAGTGCAGTGGCATGATCTCAGCTCACTGCAACCTCTGCCCTCTGGGTTCAAGTGATTCTCTTGCCTCAGCCTCCAGAGTAGCTGGGACTACAGGCATGCACCACCACACCCAGCTAATTTTTGCATTTTTAGCAGAGATCAGATGTCACCATGTTGGCCAGGCTGGTCTCCAGCTCCTAACCTCAAGTGATCTGCCCACCTCGGCCTCCCAAAGTGTTGGTATTATAGACGTGAGCCACCGGACCTGGCCCAAACTCATGTGCTCTCTTCATGAGATCAAGTTGGCAGAGAGGCAGGAGCATAGGAGATTAACAGGAGCCACCAGCGAGGCAGGGGATAGGGAGCATTTGGGGTCCTGAGAGCCACGTGGGAAAGGTGGAAGGAGGGACCCCTGGAATGGGAGGACTGCCATTGGGATGGGCAGTATGGAGCCACCTCAGTTTGGAGGCAACCAGTGGAGAGAGATGAGAGGGAATGCAGATGGCGCTATGCTAAAACAGCCTGCAGAGAAATGGATCATAGCTGGAAGAGAATGAAGAGATTTTTTTTCCACCTTTTTAAATGAGGAGAGAGGTACTAACAAGCATATGAGTGATCCAGTAGAGCCGGAAAATCTGATGGTGCTCAAAGAAAAGGGGATGGGAGCCAGGGCAGAGTGAACAAATTGTTTTTGCAGAAACATACTTCCATAGTAAAGGAGGCATGCCGAAGCCGGGCGTGGTGGTGCACGCCTGTTGTCCTAGCTACGCAGCAGACTGAGGCCATAGGTTTGAGGCTTCAGCAAGCTGTGATCACACCACTGCACTCCAGCCTGGAAGTTTGGAGTTGGAGACCAGCTTGGCTTTGTTGGTCTTCCCCAACAGAGTGAGACCTCATCTTTTAAATAGAGGAAGAGTGAATGGCTGAATGAATTGGTCCTAGGAGCTGTCTTTGGATTGCTTCTATTTACTCAGTGAATTGGAAGCATCACAGTTAAGAGCTAGGGATGTTACATAGGAAGCAATCACCAAATAATGAATAAAACGCCACTGTTTATTGTGGAAGACCCTGACAGGCTGCTGACCTCCCCTGTCACGGAGGAACGAATGATGCTAGAACCAGCAGTTGTGTATGTGTCGGGTGTGTGTGTGTTGGAGGAGGCGCCGCCATAGGAGGCTCGGGGATGGCAAACACAGTGCCTGAACACCGTGCCTAGCAGGGGAGTTGGTTCATTGGTAACTGCTACTGTTTCCCCACCCACCTGCCTCCTGGACATCTCTTCCACCCAACCTCATCATTTTCTCCAAAACCCTGTCCTTCCTATGTGTTAGACATCAGAGAATGTTGTCACCTTCTCCCGCTACCCACTATGTCCCCACCACAACCTTGGGAGTCATCCTGGACTCTCCTTTCATCACACTCGCTCGCTCCACCTATGCCTCTTCTGTCTGTCTCACCCACTGCCATCTCTACCTCAACAGCCCTGTCCTGGCTGTGCCTCAGTCCCTCAAAAGCACAGGTGACTTTGTCCTTTCACTCCTTGTAGCTCCCAGGATCCATCCAAACACCCAGAACCCTTCCACCTGCCTCTCCTCCATCCCCCACCTGCCAGGGGACAGACAGCTGCCCTTGAGCCTTCACACAATGTTTCTGTACTCGGAAGTGCCTGTCCCCACCTCTCTGCCCTGCGGTCTGTCATCTGGATGGAGGTTATCAGATGCCCTGTCCTCCTGGATGCCACTTGCATGTCCCTTGACAAGAGGAGTAACCAGAATAAAATCACCAGCTCTGGACATGGTGGCGCATGCCTGTAGTCCCAGCTACTCAGGAGGCTGCGGCAGGAGAATCACTTGAACCCGGGAGGTGGAGGTTACAGTGAGTCGAGATCGTGCTACTGCAGTCCAGCCTGGCAACAGAGCGAGACTCCGTCTCGGCCAGGCGCAGTGGCTCACACCTGTAATCCTAGCACTTTGGGAGGCTGAGGCAGGCAGATCACCTGAGGTCAGGAGTTTGAGACCAGCCTGACCAACATGGAGAAACCCTATCTCTACTAAAAATACAAAATTAGCTGGGTGTGGTGGCGCATGCCTGTACTCCCAGCTACTCGGGAGGCTGAGGCAGGAGAATAGCTTGAATCTGGGAGGGGAGGTTGCAGTGACAGATTGTGCCATTGCACTCCAGCCTAGGCATCAAGAGCGAAACTCTGTCTCAAAAAAATTTTTTTTTTAAATCACGAGCTCCTAGGCACTTAGGCTGTGCCCAGCCCTGAACAACTGGCTTGTCTTGGAGTCTTGTGCCGTCCTTGCCAGGAACAGTGTGGCTTCCTTGTTTTGGCACCAGAGTGATGGGCCAAGTACTTAACTTACTATCCCTGGTGTCAGCCCCACAAGTCTCCTCTGAGATAGCAACCTTGTTTCGATTTTTTCTTTCTTTCTTTCTTTTTTTTCTTTGATACAGGGTTTCACCCTGTTGCCCAGGCTGGAGTGCAGTACCTGGTTGTAGCTCACTGAAACCTGGAACTCCTGGGCTCAAGTGATCTCACCTCAGCCTCCCAAGTGGCTGGGGCTACAGGCGTATACTACCACGCCTGGCTAATTTTTAATTTTTTTTTTTTTTTTTTTTTGGG